CTTGCTCAGGCCTCAGCAGATCTGTATTGTAACTGCCTAAGAGTCCCCTGGCCGCTTTCTTGTTTGTGCTGAGGAAACTGCTCGGTTTCATCCTGGCCTTGCTACAGTTCCTGGAGCGTCTAGGGCAGGTGTGGATGGGTTTAATTAATCTCTTTACATGTCAGTGCTGCTTTGTGCTGGTTTGAACCGATCAGGACATTGTATTGCTAGATTACTGTGACTAAACTAATGCTTTAGTTACAGGCTTTGATAGATGGGAAACCAGCTGAACTTCCATGTAGGTTCAGGGGTAAGTAGGAAGGGTGAACTTTGTGCTGATGAGAGTTATATGCAATGGCCTAGCAATGTAACAGCGAGACCACAGTCATTATGGCAGATGTTCTTGGGACTTAACACACTGGGTAGATCTAGTTATGTAGTTTTAAGATAAGTAAAGCTGATTTTAAGATGTAAATTTTGCTTCCTGGAGTCACAAGAGAACAAGCCTTTCCCCTTAGGCTGTGGTTACATCCCGAAATTCTACATTTCTTTCTTTCAGAACATATGATCAAGAGTAGGGTTACCGTAGCAGTAGAAATTAAACACTCTTGGAACAGCATAGATACACTATGTACTATAAGCAGGACTAAAAAAATAAATATGACAGAAAATCTAATGATGAGAACGTCTTCCTCAAGCTCGTGGTGGTGCTGCTGATAGAGGATGTCTCCCATACTTAAAAATCAGTTTTACCTTTTGTGAATATAAATAAGCCACTTTTTAATGTTATTGACATTTCAGTCTGGCTGATTGTCTCAACCTTCATGGCTCCGATTTAATTTTTCCTAATTAAAATGTTCTGAAAAATTAGATAATGCATCTCTTACTTCAAGCATCTGCTAGCTTCAGACATCTCCTAATTTTCTTGCAGATGATAAGCAAAATAAATGCTTATCAAATCTACAGTGTTTATTTTTCTCTTCTGTTAGTTATTTATTATCTGCTCTCTGTTACATTCTTACATGCCCCAGTTTAAATTTTTTAAAACTTTCCCTTCCTTTCTCTCCCCTTCAATGCGTGTAATCATCCCCAATTATAAGAGGTGGTATTAATCGTATGCTGGTGAACACAGTAGCTGGCTAATAGTATTTTGTAGCTCACTGCAGTTCTGCGTTAAAGTAAAATCAGTTTTAGAATGCATAAGAAAAGAATTGCAGTAATAACAAATGTTTCTTTTCCTTTAATTAGATGAGAAACAATTACAATGGGAATCTATTTCAGCCCAGTAAAAGCTGCAGGTTTTTGCAGCCTGTCTGGCTTTTTTGCATCTGTAAAAGATTTCAAGTAGTACTTGCTGGGCAACGTTTGAATTTCTAAAAAGTAGACTGCATTACTGATTACTTAAATGGATAGCATTAAGCAACCCTATTGAAATGCATGCCACTGAGCATGGAGTAAGTATTTAGCTTTTTGTAATGTGCTGAAAATGATGAGTATTGGGCTCTTCTCATAATACAGTTGCAAGTTGTAGTGTTACTAGATACAAATCTGTAGTGAAAACTCTTGTATTACTGCCACAGTTTTCTTGTCTACATCATCTGGGAGGTAGTATCTTTCACTGGCTGGAAATCAAGGCTTACATTTCCAGGGATGTTAATATATGCTTTTTATTCAGAGAACTTGACTACTCAGTATTGTATAATGGTATGGTATGACTAGATTGCCTTTGCCTCTTTCCGTGCCAGCTTTACGTCTGATGAAAGCTGAACATAACTTGTTTGTCTTGATGTGCCTCTGTTACACTTCATAACAGGTGGCTTGAGGATGTAGCTTGATCAATGGAATTACCAGTTTGAAATATAGATTAAGTGTCTGTAACATTTCAATCTCCAGCCAATGTGGCTTCCAGATAGGATGAATGATTTGTATAATGGCTTGTACGACAATCATAAATTTGAAAGCCACTCTTCCCCCCTCTTCGATTGAATTGCTATGCGTGTTAAACTCCGAGTACATGTTAGGTCAGAACACCTCTTGGAGCTGCTGTTTTATGTAAGCAGTTGCAAAAGATCCCACTGCGAAGAAACAATTTTTTTTGTTGCTTGTATTACAGTGGAGACACTTACAACGTGGCTTTTGCCCACTGAGTGCAGCTGGCGCTCAGTCCATCTAGTAGAGGGGGAACACAGAAAACAAAATCCATTCTTAAAGCATTAAATATTTGCTTGCAGGTGTTCTTGTCCTTGCCAGCCTGTGAATTAAAGCTGAATTTTTTGTGTGTATTAACGAGGTACCCACGTTTGAATACTTGAGGGACCAGGCTTGTATTTAAATGATTGCTTTAAGCTGATCTGAGTAAGGGCTGCTCCTGAGAGGAGCTGGCTTGCTCCCTCCCAGCTGTACTCCTGATTCTTCCCTTGTGCTGGCGGTAGTGCTGGAGCAGCCGCGAGCTCAGAGGGTTCATTGGACTGATCTGGTTAAAATCTAATCTGGCTGGAAAACTGGATTTTCAGCGGTATCGTTTCTGCTGCTCAGCTCACCGTGTGTTTGAACAAATGCTAGCGTTAGCGTAAGGAAAAGAGCAGCGGGAAGATGAAGCTGGAATAGACAGGGGCAAGGAGGGAGGAGAAGCGGCAGGCGATAGACCTGCCCTGTTCAGCAGCAGCCCCAAATCTGTGTTGGCTTGAAGCAATCATGCATCATAACCTTAAACAGGAGAAAGTGTGTTGATCAAGTTGTGTGTGCAAAATGCATTCCTATGTCAACCTCGACTGTACCTTATTTTCTTAGGGAATCCTTTTAATAGAGAAAAACCTATCATTCTGATAGAGATTTCCGGGCTTGGTCTGAACAGTAGGCAGTAGGGACACCCCTTACTGGGCTGCAGTTGTAGAGTTGGAGATCTTTAAGATGTGTGTTAACTATCAAATCTGCAGTTAAAATAGTTTTCAGAAGGCTCTTATGCAAGACCATGCTTTCATGCCTTTGCAATGGGAGTGAAAATGTGGTCTCAGTGTCGTTTTCTGATCTGTGTTTAAATACCTGCTTGACTTGTGTGACCTACTGATCCCATCAGGAGTTGCTGTTTCTTAAAATTGCTTCTGAATCGGAAATTCTCGAACTGAGATAGAAACTGTTAGAGTAGAGCATGGGGGAGAGGGAAATTCAGCCGGTCAGCGCTTTGAGGGAGACAGGGACAATTTGCTAGGGCAACCCTCCGTGCCATTGCCTTGGCCTGCCCAGGAGCTTTCCATACTCCCATCTTTGCAGGAAAGGTAAGAGATGACGTTTCAGGCTCATTCTTATGGCTGCGGGAAAGGTCTAGGACAGCGTTCCCACTGCTGTGGTACAATCCAGCTTTTTGTGTATGGGGTGACACGCAAGCAAATTAAGCTGAAGAATTTCTGCTTAAGATCCCAAATGTCTGAGAAGCTTCTTTACATGGCCAGCCTCACTAAATTAGTGGCATCACTCTGGGCCCCACCACCTTTACGTTCTTGGAAGCTAGCCTGTTAACGGACTGAGAAGGAAGAGAGGTGGATGGGGTCCTGCAGCCTCGGGGGTCCTCTGTGCACTGTACTCTGGGTGCGAGCACTGTGGGAGGGTGGTGTTGACTGTGGCGTGGAACAGTGCAAGGCTTCGTGTTTGCAGGGCTACTTCAGTGTTTGAAAGAAAAAAACAACTCATAAGAAATAAAGCATAAATACTTGAAAAAATTGTTGGAATCCACAAAACGTTTGAGGTTTTAAACAGTGTTAAGTAATAGCTTTCTCTCTCTCTCTCTCTCTCTCTCTCTCTCTCCCCCCGCTTCTGTTCTAGGAATAAGCTAGGCTGCTGTTAGGAATGGCTTGCTAGAATGGATTTTGCCTTGGGATAGGAAGATGGATTAGATTAGAGTTTCCAAGCTGTGCTGACCAGTTGTTGTTCAGAGGACATTAGGGGATCATCCTATGAAACGGCTGACTAGGTTTTGGATTTGCTTTTTTGAAAACAACGCTCTACTCGGGCTTGCATTTCTACCGATGGAAGCAAACAACCGTAAAATGATGGGAAATAAAAATAACAAATTTAAGTGTTTAAACTCTACCCTAAATTTTTTTTAGTTAAGAATATAAATCATTATGACAACACTGCAATAAATGATAAATGGATATTCTTTCCTCCCCTTGCTCCTTTCTTCAAAAAAAAAAAAAAAGTTACAGGAATTTTTGATTCAGAGATGGATAAATCCTGACATAACTGAGACTTCAGGGTCCTTCATATCATTATTTTCTTTAACTCTTTGATTATGTTCACAGAACCAATCACTTCTACATCCCCAAAGCAGTTGCACACGGATTAGATTTTTGTGACTACTTTCTAATGATAGATGCTTTTAAAGCAGTTTCTTTTTTGGGGGGTATATTTTGCCTTGTTTTTGCATCAAGAGCTTCTTAAGGAAAAAACAGCGTATTGGTCTCTTAATGAGAATAAATTACATTTTACTAGGAAGAAATGTAGTAATATTAGCTTACTTTGTGCTTTTCTCTCTGTTTTTTTAAATACTTTATTATACGAGCTCTTTCCACGAAGATTGAAATATATTTAGCTAATTTTTGAATACTACTTTCCATAATAAAAGAAACATTTTTGAATGTATGATGTTTTGGTAAACACTTGGGATACACAAATAGAATAGCTGAACAAGAACTCTCTTTTTTCTATAGTTTTGTTGAACGAGCGCATTGACAATTCAGATAGGAAAACGTCTAGTAAGGATTGTGATCTTTCTGTGGGAGAGCCTAGGCTAATCACAGTGGAAATATTTCTTTATTTATATCCAGCTCTTCACGATTTAAGCAATATAATAAATTCTAGTGAAGGGGAAAGCATGTTTTAGGGTGAGACGCTGTTCAGGGTGAAGACAAGCATTCTAATTTTCTCTGAAATGTTAGCACTTAACAGGTATATTTATAATCATTCTGCCTTGTATTAAATCCTGTTTCTAACTCTTGGTTTTTTTGTACATATTTGTTTTTCAGGCAGCAGCGTCTGTCCAAAGTTATTAATATCGTCTCAGTCTTGTCCAGCGAGTGCCACAACCAGGCTAATTGAGCAGAATGTACACAGTGAAGCGGCTCAGGGAATAAATGGAAGTGTGCCAGTTAAACCTTCCCCACGTTCAGCTTCAAATCCAAAGCCACAAGGTAAATAGTCTCAAATACATTGGTTAGGTAAGTTGCTTTTCAGCTCATGCTTCAAGGGAATTGCTAAAATGAAAGAGAGCACCTTGAAAGAACTGTGCTTCTCAGAAAATAGTGGGGTAAAAGCTTGATACTGAAATACTAATATTCTATAAATTGCTTTATGAAGCTGTCATTTTTGTTAAATTAATATTTTGCTGACATAGGTTCTCAGGAAGGAAGGTTAGACTCATTAACATGTTAAGAAGTGTACATAGGCCTATGTACTTGCATCTCAAGTGTCTGGTGTTTTGCTCTGCACTTACTGCCAGGCAGTTGGTGTTCAATTCCTCCTCTGCCCAAGCAGTGGCTAGTAGGTAGAGATGGGAGAACAGCTGCCAGCCCCTCTTGTTTGTAATTTAACTCTTGTCAGTGCTTGTTTTTCATAAGGATTACGGTATTTGAGCTGGAAGGTTGTGAGGCTGTAATACTATTTTTGAGTGAAAGATCAAGGGTTTAGCAGGCTGGCTTGGTGGGGGGCTTGTGAGGAGAGTAGGGGCCTTGGGGCTCTAGCTGAGCTCAAGTGGAGCCTTCCTGTAGCAGTGATGTGGGGGAAAAGGGGAACTTCTTATTTGTGCAGTAAAAGCTGTCAAATGTGTCTGAAGAGTAGACTTCTGTCTTTCCTGTCCATTATCTGTTTTGGAAGATAAATAGGTTTCTCACCTACAGGTTGAGATTATGTATCTAAACCTCAAACCATCTTTTTGCATGGCCTTCTCAGTAATGTTGGTGATCCTGCTGAGGTTGGACAGAAGCAAAGGTCAGTGTGTTCTGGAAATCTTGAATTCAAAGAGAACCTGGGCTTGGTGTCTGTCCATCCAAGAAACTGCTGTTAGGAATGACATAAAACAGCAATTTCGTTCATCTCAAAAGAAAAAAGAGTGAATTTTGAAGACTAATATCTTCATCCTGTTCAGTGAATTAGACTGTGAAACATACTGGCAATATGATAGAAACTAGAATCACAGTTGCCTGTAGTGAGTTTAGTGATCTATGTATCCATCCATGGAAAGTTGCATCATGAAGAATTTTTCTTCAGTGCTGAATTCATTTTAGAATTAAGTGGGAAAGAAAATTGTTGGGTGCCGAGAAAGCTTAGTTTATTTAGGGAGTCTAAGAGCAAAATAAAGCTGTATTTTTTGTATTGTTTGTTTTTCTAGAACTTCTGGTAAAACACTGTAGTTTAGTGAACAATACTGGCAGCCATATGTAAACATCGCTCATCTGAGTGGCCCTTCAACATCAGTTCCTGGGGCTCTGAAAAACATTCTCTGAAGCTAAATTAACAAGGGAACAGATGTTGTTCCCAAGAAAAATATTTTAGAAATCTGTTAATGAATAAAGAGAAATGGGCAATCAATAAAAAGATTTAAACCTTTCAAAAGCAGAACTAGCCCACTTACTGTAATTATAGCTGTTAGATAAATTAGCAGTTGGATAACATAGGACCACATTCATTCAAACAGTTATGCAGCTGTTGTTGCTCTTTCCTAGCTATGACTTCTGTGTTTATCTCAAAAGTGCTTGCTCCAAGAAGTGGCATAGCCAGCAATAATGTTGTAGTCTAAGAAATGCAGTGGTGCATATTACAGGCAATAACACCATCGTAAATAGTATTTTGTGCATGCTCTGCTCATGGGCCTGCCTCTGTCTTTCTCCATCTGTTTGTCTTAAATATATGTGTCATATCAAAGTTATAAAGCATTTTCTTTTGGTTTTCTTTATTCGGAAGAAACAAAGCAAAATAGAATGAATGAGATGAGTATTTGGGAGTCCAAATGATCCCGGCAAAATAAGTTGCTTCAGTTTATTGGTTTAAATGTGGTTGCTAAACTTTTTTAGCAGTTTTTAGTGTACATGTATAGAACAATTTTTTTTAATCATAGCAGGATTGTATTCTTTCAAATTGTTGCTCTAGTCATGCAAATACTAAACATCCTTTTGTAATGAAAGGAAGTAAGATCACAAACCTGATTTGTAACGCCAGTGTGTTTGGTTGTTGATGAATTAACTACAAAATGACCTTCATCTAACTAACCAAAATGTGTGTAGTTGAAATTGAGAGATATGAACTGGAGTAAGTCTATTTTTAGTAAGCTTAGCTTTAAAATACAGTAAAAATGTCCAAAATCTTACACTTGAAGTGAACCAGGGACTCTAAACCTGTTTTGTTCTGTACTTAGTCTCTGAGAAGTAGTTTATATTTTTGGAAACTAATCCCTTAGGGCAGCCAGCCTGACTGAATAAATTTCTGCGCAGCATCCAATATAAAATTCTCTCCCTTCGATTTCATTTTTTTCCTGGCATTTCAAGGAGAAAACAAACTAGCTATCTGATATACTGAAAGTGAAAGAGCAGTTTTTGTTCCCCAATAATTCTTTTCATCAGCAATTTAGCAATTCATATGTCAGAATTCTGTGTCAAGTGTAGTTTGATTCATGGAAGTCTTTGCAGTTTTGGAACAAAGCCTAAAACTGACTGCAAGCCAGCAAGGGAGTTAAGCAGGGCAATCTGGCCTGCAGAGAAAGCAGACAGTCACAGTCTGTACCAGCTGTGAGGGACAGTGTTTTGCCTTTGTGTTAATACAGTGTGTGCTCTAACAAAGTGGGAGTAATCCAGATTGGAGGCACTGGGTGGAAATAGCAAAATTCGCTAATGAGTTGCAAATCAAATACGACGCTCAAGAGATGGAGCAAATTGTTAGGTAATTTGGAATTTGCTCTTACCTACAAATATGTGGGCAGTGATCTGGGCCTGGTGCTAACAGAGTTCATGCAGAGTGACATGAAAAAATTGACTGTTTTTTTTTGTTTTTTAAAGTTCTGCTACTCCCTGTTCTTTGAAGAGAGTTAAGTGTTGCATAAGTTTTATGTGATGCCTGATTACTGAATACCAGGCAATTAAATTCGTAGAGTACTGAACAGTGGACTAGGTCTCCTGGTGCACATATAGAACATTGGCCTGGACTGTGTTTGACTTCAATGAGATTCTGGAGTCTGTAGGCTATTTTGGTAGGGAGAGCTCTTTCTGAAGAAGACTTCAAAAGATTTCCATAGCACTATTTTTGTAGGAGCATAAAAATGTTGAAATGTTAAAGCTTCCTGAGAACAGCCAAGTTCCTTGTCAGTGCATCAGTCTTGGCTGTACATCCGTTGCTCATGTAGGTTTTCCTAATGAGTGCTTAGGACTGCTTGTGAATCTCCTGCTGAGGCGAGAGAGGCATCCTTGATTGGGCTGGAGATGACATTCCACTCTGGAAGATGGCTTGGCTTCAGTTTGTGCTGCTGTGAGCTGGCACAGACGCAAAGCTTTCGACACTCGCTCAACTACAACTGATTGCTCGAGTAGCATCAGGCCTATTCTCCCTTTTCTGTTAACTGTAGTTTAGTTGATGACTTTGCAGGTATTCAGTGGCTTGGGCCCAGAGCAGCTGAAAGACTTCTTTAAAGATCTGGGATGCTGGCTGCGCTTCTCCAGTGAAATGAGATTTTTACCGTTAAAGTTGAAATGAACTAAAAGTGAGGGCTACTTTAGCTACTTTTTTTCTCCAGCTGTATGGTACTTTAAGAAACCCGTAGCAATGTCTCTTTTATCAACAGAACTGCTAAAGCCCAGATGTTATCTTCAGAAAGGAGAGGGATGAGAGAACAAAGCACACTTGATAATTATTGGTGTTATCTCTTAATGTATTATTGAAAGACACTTGTTCTGATGTGATGTAAAAACATGGAAATAGTCATTTTTTAAAAAGAGATTACTTTTTCTCCTTTTACTGAGTCCCGGTTACTTGTTACTTTGTACTATTCTTGCTACCGTAAATCTTTTGTATCTAGCCAGCTGTGCTCGTTTGATCTTTCTGAAGGTGCTGGAGCATGCAAGGAGATGATGAAGGATGACTCAGCCAAGGGAGCTTTAGTTGCTGACTGCAGGAACTTTTATATTTTCATTGAATTAAAGTGTAGCAGAATTTTTTACCAGCAGGACTTAAATGGGTGGAGGGGGAAGCAATTCATTGAACTTCTAGAGCGGTGATAAAAGACCTTTGCCTTGGACTCATTAGTGGTTGTTGTACCTATTTTATCCATTTGTAACATTATCTCCCACTTCCTTTTGCTTGTAAAAAGTTGAATGCACAGCCGTAGGCTGCAGATAAAATGCTGATTGCATGTTTTGGCTAGCAATATACAATAACAGTTTTCCAGTTTCCCGAGTATTTTGAAGGATTTTCTTTGGGCAGAATATGCAGTTCATATCTTCTAATATGTTCACAATTCTACAGTATAGAAAGAAGAGCATTTATAGAGTTGAGCAGAGCTTTGTATTAACAGTATGTAACAATGGGCCAGTCTTCCCATTTTTTCTTTAAGAACCTTGCTGTGTGCACATCAAAAATAATCTGATTAAAATGAAAGACTTCAGAAGTACACTGAGGGAAGAATTAATGGAATTTGTTTTCCATAATCCCTATTAACAAGGCTGACCTTACAGGAAGGTTTGCAGGCTGTTTTATCCTGCTGATTCTTTCCTTTTCATTGATCTTGTGACTGTCCTTTTCCCACTGTGTTGTTTCTAAAACGTCCGGTAGCCAGGAGCACCTGATTAGGGGAAACGCTGCCTCTTAAATGCTAATTAAAATAATTTGTGTTAGTGAATTGGTGTAGCTGTTTGCTTTCTGGTTCTCCTCTGAAAACATTGCAGGGATTTTCAACAGACTGGGATTGTCTAATTTAACAGGAGGCGCCCAGTGCTGGTGTTTGCCCTACTGAAATGCTGTTATGTTGCCTTTTTTTTTTTTTTAAACCACTGCAAAAGTGTGACAACGCTGCAGAGTGTCCTAGAATTTGATTTTTGTCCCAGAAGGCTCCAGTATAAATAGCTTCCAGCTAACTATTTTGCTTTATCAGCAGACATTAACTCCCTCAAGTTTAGTAGTTTTAATATCTCCTTGTGCGGATTATTAACTTTTCATGAAATGTACAAAAGAACTCGCAGAGCCATAAGTTGTACAACGTGTGTTGCAAGAGCAAGAAGCGTTTCTACAAACTAGCTTAACGCTTGGGCAGTAAATCCACGCAGTGTCCGCTTTCCTTTCTGTCTCCTCCCCTAGGGAAATTGCAGTGCCCACGCTCAATTATGTGTCCTGCTTTTTCCCAGACCGCTTGTCTCACATTTTTCAGCTGTTTCGTTGCCTTTGTCGGTGCGATAAGCTATTCAGCTCTTTGACAGTTATCTGATGCTCGTTGGCCTAAATCTGCCAGGCCTTCTCGAAACTCACTGAGAAGAGAGAAAATAGGAAAACTGCTCCACAGCACTACAAATGTGAATGACCAAATGCATGCAGCTTCTCAAGAAGGACTTCAGTTAGTACACATACGCAAATAGTTACACAGTTTGCCTTCTGCTTGTTTCAGGCTTGAGTTGTAACCATTTGAAAATGATGGTGTTTTAAGTTATCCTTTCTGCACTGTATCCTTCTACAAACTTCCTTTTTTGCTTAGTCTGTCCCTAATCGGAGCTATGGTAGTAAATATAAATAAAGCTTGAAAGGACTAAAGATGTACGTATGCACAGTAAAAGTCTCTGATTCACCTTAGTTCTCTTCTTTCTCCCTGTGTTTTTTATTTCATTTGTCTTCATTTGTCATCACTTGTCAGTGATGGGATTGAAGTCTTAAGCTTTTTTTGGTAAATTCATATCTTCATAGTGTCCCTCAGGTACTTTTTGAGGACTGCAACTCACCCTGCAGTCCCTTTTACATGTAATTTTATTATTGGAAGCAAAGTTAAATATTACTTCCTGTAACTTAATACAAGGTAGAGATGAAAAGTTATCGTAAAGTCCTCCTTCAAATCTGTTATACTCTAGGGTAGTATATTTGCGAGAATTTTTCAACGTGACATTCAAATGTAGGTTAACAGGATTTCAGCTGTTTCTGTGGTGCACGGGTTTTCCAGGTTAAGTCCGTAAACTGTTCTAGAATCAATGTTGCTAGGAATACGGCTTTTCCATGTCCAGGTATTGTAAATCCTATGCTAGTGCTTGTTCTTCTGCCATATGAGCTGCACATGTGGCATACTTCTTAATGCCAACTCCTGTCCTTTTTCGTTAATGATTGTTCCCTAGGGAGTCTTGCATACTTGATTAAGGGCCAGTAGCCGTGGTCCACCCAAAAATAGTGCCTGTGGGGCAGTGACCTGGGTCATGAAGGGGTTGGTTTCAGTGGTAGGGAATTCTGTACTCCTGACAATTTATTCATTCCTTTTATTAAAGAACAAATACAGTCTCTGTTTTTTCACTTCTACATCAAATTTTTTTACTTCTCCCCACAACATTTTTTGGGAGCGTGGCAGAGACTGAGAAGGGTTGTGTACTGGGACTTGAGGACTTTTCCTGTCTCTCCTTTTAATGTGGCAGGGGGTGCGCTGCTCGGGCGGGAGAGTGGAACACGTTTGGGCCCAGGCTGAAACGATGTTACTTCGCAAAAATGCTGTAAAGTAGTTTCTTAAAGGGATAGAAGTTAATTAAAAAATCATCAACACCTGTGACTTTAGTGGCTTTATGTTTCACCTTGTCTTTTGGCTTCTGATCATTGCTGCATTAAACACAGGCTAATCATTGACAATCTACTAAGAAAGGCCTATGGTAGGTAGGGATGGGGAATAAAGAGAAAAATACAAAATATTTTTGGGGCCAGATTTTCAGCAGTATGTATAGACGCAGGTTCAGTGAGTAAAAAAAGCTCAAAACTGAAGCCAAATATCTTTTCCAATGACTGCTGTTTTTGAAGTAGTTGGGAAGAAGGGGAAATGAGAGCACCAGAGTTTTGGGTGAGCCCTTTAAGTCTCCCTTGGGGAAAGGCAGCTGAAAGGTTCTTGAGCTCCACAGCTAGATCCTCTGATTACTTGAATTCTTATTCAGGATAAAACCTGCAGTTACGGAGGCCACAAATGGTGTTTACTATGGTACGCTGCATAAAACTACTTTTCTAGCTCGTTAAAGTAGCACTTGATTTGGCTTATGTCCAAAAATATAATAGGATAGCTGATACCCTGCAGTAAATAGGAGACTATAGGAAATCCTTATATTAATAAAGCAAATTTAAGGTTAAGTAAACCAAAGAACCTCCTATTTTTAATTTCGGTAATAAGTTCTTATGCGAAAAATCTCATATGTGGTCTGGCAGTTAGAAGCAGTTCATGAGTGACTGATTGTTTTTGTTGTTTGCAGTGCCTCCAAAGCCAATACATCTGCAGAATTTATCACCTGTTACATACCAAACCCCTAGGCATAAAGCTTTATCAAATCAGAAACCAAGGATGGAGGAAGATATACCTACCCCTGCTTCTAGTGTCACAAAGGAGAAGTCCAGTAAAGTGTCAGATCTCATCAATCGTTTCGAAGGAGGCAGGTATGTAATATACTATCCTTTCAAAGAAATGGTGAACAGGGAAAGATTTTAATTGTTTTATAATTCTGTTGTATGCAGATTAACAGAAGTTGCACATGTAAGGGGGAATGCTGATATTGTGGCAATGCTCAAACCTACCCCTGCCTGAGCAGGTGATGACAAAATGGCACATTTTGAAATGGAGGAAGCTAATAGTATATTGGCCTGTACAATGTGTGCTTTTCTTATAAGGTGCTAGTCTTAATTTTCCTTGTAAAAACCTGTAGCATTTTTAAAACATCCTGAGAAATGTCAGCCATTTGAAATGAGTGCTGTATTTAGAATGAAACCTTGGAGCTGATTTTAAATTCTTTTGTTATTACAGGCAAAGCTTTTGACTTTTTATAAACAAATGGAAAAAACTGAAACCTGCTTTTCCTTTTCTGTTGACTTAATCTCTTCAGATCATTCACGTGAAGTGGGTGAACTGTATGAGTTATTTGTATTGATATGGCATACGTTCACTTAACTATTTGCTTTCTAGTTCTTGGTGATTTTCGTGAAATATATTGATGCTTTTGAGTTTTGATACTGCATTTTATAAGAAACATTTAGAACCTCGAGAAGCATGAGCCATGGTAAAGTCTGTTTTCACAAACCAGTGCTTCTTTTGTGTCTTTTAATTAGATGTATATGACAGGCATATAGGCTCTGAAAGTGTTGGAGGTTTGCTTTGTATAAAGCGAGTGACCTTCTGGAAAGCCCAGGAGCAGCTCAAGAAACAGTCAAATGACAGTTGAGTGTTACAAGTTTTGGATATGGCTTTCTGCTATTTCCTGAGGGAACTGATATTCGGAAGGAGTGCTACCTACAGGAATGAGTATGTGATGTACAACAGAGTATATCCTTCAAAGGAGCCAGTATATCAAAGACCTTCGGTGAAAGAATTTTGCTCTCAAGATGAGGGAAAATTAATCCTTACACAGAAACAGCCAAGCGTTACGAAAGTAGGTTTTTCTAGTGGAACAGAAATCATTTCAGAGCTTCATCTGCAAGAAACTGCCATCATTTGAGGGACACTTATTTGCACCTCTGTCATGATAGCTGTCAAGAAAGGGGGAAAAAGAAACCAGTGCAGCGCTAGAGGTCTTGTGAATTCTTCTATTTCAGGTCTCCCATCCCGATATCCCTTCATTTCCCTGTCTTCCTCCAAAGCATTATTCCAAATCTTTTTAACTTTTAATAGTATCCCTAGAAAAACAATTTCACCTCTTTCATAGTTCTTCCTAGTGGTTGTGAACTATTAAAAAGTTCTAGAATAAGATACAACACTACGCGTGTGGTTTTTTTTAACTCATCTTTAAAACCGAGCATTTACATTTTGACTGTATTCGTGGAGGTGGAAAATAAGAGAAACATAAAAGAGTTTCCATAGAATTCTGCCGTCAAGCCTTGTAAAGTAATCTTCTGAAGGATCTAAGCTGCTTTTAGGCATCTTCCTATCCTTAAAAAAGCTTCACAAGGCTATTTAAGTACCCTTTGATATCATTATTTTTTCTAAATGGGAACTCCTCAAGCATCAGCAAGTCCTACCATTTCTTCCTGCTAGTTATGGCTGCTGGATTTTGCAGAAACTCTTTCTGTATTATACGAATGAAGGAAGTTATAAATGAAGCAGTGAAAACTTCCTTATTTGCTGCCTTAAAAAAAAAGGAGGGGGGGGGGGCTAGGGGAAGTTGTCCAGCTTTTTAGTCAAAGTTATTCATTACAGTCAGTAATATCTGTCCAGTGATAAATTCTCTTCAAATCTCTGATCTCTGCTATGACAAATTCCATGTCTGCATAAAAATAAGAGACTTTCCTAGTCAGTATGCCCAGTTCTGGAATGTCCTCCTGTGGCTGTGGAAGCTCAGCTCATAACATGTCTTCTGTGAAGGTGATTTTCGCTTGTTATTATTGGTCTTCAAGTAACTGAGTAGGATGTTCGTCAACTGCAAATTGTGGTTGTCAATTATGATAACATTTTCATTAGCCTGTGTCAACCAAAAACACATAAATATGGTAAAAAGTTGAATAAAGCTCTGCACGGCATGCAACAATGGGAAAAGATAAATGCGTTTCAGAGTTAAATTTCTCAGCGTTTGAGAGTTTTTTTTAAAAAGTCATAATCTTCACACATCACAATCACACAAAAAATAATTTAGCTTTTCGTTGCATGATAGAAGCAAACAGAAGGTAGTGTAAGATGTTTTTCAAGCTACATGTACTGCAGTTCAGAATATGGTTACAATATTTATGTAAACTGTCCTGTAAATAAGGAGTATACATACAGGTGATAACCATTCTTCATCTTTCAGTAAGATTAATGTTCAGCATTAGGAACAATATGGTGAAGGACAGTAATGGTATCTTTTTGCAGGTTGAATATGGTTTAAAAGACGTACTTCAAACAAAATTGAACTGTATATGTTTTATTTTGGTTGTAATGATTTTTACAGTAATGAAGCCAAAATTTATTTTTACAGAATATGCTAATGTTTATATTATCCTAAAATTCAAGCTCTCAGAATATAACAGAGAAAGAGATAGCAAAAGGTATGAACGAGGGATAAAATGTCTTTAAAGCTGAGATAAAATATCGAGGAACAGAATTTTCAGAAAAGACTCAGCGTCATGGAAGGATAGGGCTGAACAAGGAAATGGGGGTAAGAAAGGGGAAAAGCAAGGTTAAGAATCTAAAGCTCCACCTGCAATGTGTTGAATTAAGAAAGGGGATAAAAAATTGTCTTGGCTATTTCATTCATTTTATGTAATTAGAGTGCAATTAGGGAAAAAGTGGCCTGTTGGTTTAAGCATTGAACTGGGACTTGGGAGACCCAGATTTTTCTCCCCATTTCTGCTAATAATCTTCTGGGAGACTTTGGGCAAGGCGCTTCATTTATCAGTGCCTCAGTTTCCTTATCTTTATATGTTGCTAATGATCCTGCCTACCATTTACAAGAATGAGATTCAAGAGAGATGAGGATGTAATGAACAGATACGGACATCGCTCTAGGTTTCCAGTAAGAGATGCATGTTTGCACATGTTCAAATGAAATAATGCAGTTTAAGTCTTGATGGCCTTGGGAGAAATCAGCTATGTAGCGTAACTGCCCTACTCTTAATGACAGGGTTCTTCTTTAATGCCATGTTTAACTTCTCTCATCTGTTGTGTGTGTTTGTTTTTTAGCCCCTTGAATCATAGTGAATTGAAGAAAGAGTCCTCCGTTCTCAACATTTCTAAATCTCAAGGAAGATATGGGTCAACACCATCACCTCAGCCAAAACTCCCCTCCCAGCACCCACTACAGAAACAGGGAAATAGTAATACCGACAAAACTCAGGTTGCACAGATACACACGGCCAACGGAGTAGTAGCACAAGACCAGGTGGAACGTGAGGAGAGGAGATTGCCTGATTATAGCTCCACTGTGTCCACCCTGGTTCCAGATAATTCAGTCAGCAGTAGCTTGGTAAATGGGGAAAGAGAAAGCACTACCAGAGAGTCATTGCAGACTACAACTGCTTGTGAAGGACAGATGCTTAATAGCTGCTACAGGACTCCAAGCAGTGATACACTGCTCCCACCTGAAAAAGAAACTCTAGAAATTAATGCTAATGTGAAGGAAGAACCAGATGAGGAAATCACTAAGCAAGATCAACCTGTAGAAACAAAGGTAAAAAGAGAAGTTGTATCTTTCTTGCTGTATTGCTACTCTGGATATTTTCTGTAGGCTTTTGTATAAAAGAATAAGCTTCTTAATGCTGGTCAGAAAGCAAAAAATCTTCTTTTTTTTTTCCTAGAATTTGAAAATCTGTTCTCGTTTGCCGCACTATTAAAAAAGATCCTTTAAAAGAAATCAGCAAATTTGTCTTAAAAAACAAAATGGAGCCAAAAGCTTGACCATCCAGTGGCAATTCCATGACATGCTTCTGAAACTAGCAAGCAAAATATTAGAAATTGGCTTTTGGAAATCTTTTTGACATTGATAATTTTATACTATAAAATGACAGATTCTAGAGCAGGTGCTGTGCCGTTGTGCCACTGCAAGGGATATCGATATGTTTCTAGCGTATTCTCAGAGTTTAAACAACAACAGAAAAACTTGGTCATACCTTATCTTTTCCTTCTCCCTTCACCGAGTTAGGTATCTGAGGGTTTAATTAAAAAAAAAAAAAAAAGAGAAAAAATCTGAAATGTTTATGTTTAGCAGTATGCTTTTGCTGTGACAAACTACAAGAAACATGCATATAAGATAAAATTCCACGTGTAGTAAACTGCAGCAACAGGGCTGAAGGCAGAACTATCACGTGAATCCTTAACCTTGATGTAGGCAGTTGTCAAGGCAAAGCTGGAAAGGCAGTAGCCATCTGCTAGCTATCAGCTAGACGCAAGTATCAGAGTATACTAAATATATGCCTTGTTAGCAAGAACTATATGATGACGAATTTGAGCTTCCTAGTAAGGAGGGCTTTAAATAATTAAAGGAAATGAGTGGGTGGAAGAAAATCTGTCTTGGAAAAATGAATTGCAGAAAAAATGTGCACATTTCCCCTGATAAAAGTTTGATCATGTTGTTTGCCTCCTCATACTGAAACATTTATGGCCAGTGAATTTATTAATAGTTCTAGTCCTACTGTGCTATGTATGAGCCATTGCAGAGAGGGCTGGGCTAGGCCATCTGAGCTCTCCTCTTCACATCTGAGGCAAAGGGCGGCTGCGTATAGCTGAGCACTCCTAAAGCTGTTCACTAGTTGTCAGAAGCACTTACGTCACTTAACTGCAAAGCTTCAGGGTGGTTCTGGAGTTTGAAATAGAGGATTCCATCGCTCTGGTCTGCGTTTTTGAGTCTTGTTCTTATACAGCTAACTCTGGGTTTTCACGCCCAAAGCAATGGCATCTCTGCAAGCCCTTGTTTGGATAGCTAGGGATCTCATATGTGCACACATGAGGATAAATTCTGTATATGTGAAAGGTGGGTCACAATGTTCGCACAGTACAGGATTAAAATATCCTAGCTAATGACCAGAAGGTGTTTTTTTTCCTTTTTTTTCTTCTTCTTCTTTTTTCCTTTTTCCTCTTCCTCTTTAACCTTTCACACCTCTTTCATTATGTTTCCGCCTCCTGTTCGGTAATGCCTGTTTCCCCTCTCTGTGTCAATAAAACACGTTGAATGCTCTATGGGCAATGTTAAGCTTGAATCCAGATAACACAGTAAGGTGCTGGCAGCATTTTCAGGAAAAGGGAGAAATGGGAGGCTGTTGTGTTGTAAAATCCAGGAAGGAACTCGGCAAATGCTTGCAGAAAATGCTAATAGGAGCAATCTCATTGAAGTCTGTCTTGGGCCAGCTGGGTGACCAGCTGTTTTCTGGCTTGTATCAATCAAGAGTTAAAGTGTGAGGTCCGATACAACTGCGATTAGATGTATTATTTGCTGGCGCTAGAAAGGTTAAAAAAAGCATGCAGAATGACTCTTAAGAGCATCAGTGGAAGACTGAATGTGTAAAATGAATTGGATCACATCAGCCCTTCCTGAGATACTAGCTCACTTGCCATACCAGAATGTTGCCTTTAGTCTAGTGAGATTAAGAAGCATATATACCTAGGCTGATCTAAGTGCCACTCTTTACAAGTGGCACTGATTTAGATGAGTTTGATGCTACATATAGACTGAAATCAGCCCTGTGGAGCTCTCAGTTGCTGTTGCCCTGCTGGAATAGGAGGAGAGGGTGCCGAGGAGCAAGAAAGGCCTGACAGAGCTTAAGCTATCACTGTGTGCAAGTAGGCATTGGCATGAAGCAAGAGCATTTAAACAGTCTATGGTTTTGCTATGCCCCCATATAGTTGGTAGAAGATCTTAAAACTCGGATGTTGCCCAGTTAAAGTTACAAAGAATTGAACAACAGCACTCTTATGTCCTTTTTAATTAAGCAAGTGTAGGCACGATTGAGGAATAGAAATAGGAGCAGATGCCTGTGAGTCATAGACAAACTTTAAATTATGCATCTGATTATATAATTTGATGGTGATGCAACATATCTTCTTTGTCTCCTGCATGCCATACTTTTTAATTCAGGGAAGAGGAAAAGGTGGTGCTATTGCATCGTAAATATGTGCCTGTACAGCAGAAGTAAATTGAATCCGTTGCTGGAAAGCTGGGTGAATCAAACTGGGAGGTAGTGCAAAACCAAAGCATAAATTGCTTTTAGACTTGGAAAAGAAACTTCACTTTGAAATAAGTCTGCTCTTTGTTTTTCTTTTCTCTTTTCTTCCCCTGTCATCACTGTAGATCTGACTCAAGTCAGATTCTTACAGGTTCTGGAAGGATTTAGGCAAAACTTGGTAAATTTGGCAGTGTTGTTCTGAAATGTTTTCCCCAAAAGAGCAAAGAGGAGCATGCTTTGTTTCTTTTATTGACTGTATTAGACCACAAACCACATTAAACCACAAATATCACAAGGAAAAAGACAAAAGTTAAGAAATTTCTGCCATGCTGCAGAAGCACCTTCTGTCATAAGATTTGGTTTCCTAAAATGTGGAGGCTGAATAGTACAAGAACATCCTGATCAATTAACTTCCTGAAGAACATGATGTGAGAAATCTGCCACAAGAGTTAACTGAAGACAAGGAGACAAATCCTTCTGTATTTGTTTGGAGCTTGGTAGGAAAGATGGATAGCAACTGCATGCATTCCACTGATGGACAAGACTGCATTGTGCATCTTTATTAAAGTCGTTACTTGATGTGTTCTTTTAATGGCGGTGCTGGGGGATTCAGTGCTACAGATGCAAAACTCCCTGACGATTTCGTATTTCTCAGTGTGATGTGGAGATGTTTAAAAATAGGAAGACATTTTCTTGCTAAATTAACTTCTTACCAAGAAATTATTTGCTTTTGCAACACTTGAGAAACAGAGAGGAAGTAAAATCCTGATTCTATGCATTCATGTTCTTCCTCAGCAGTAAATCATGGATAAAAGCGCTATGTCTTCAGCATCGTATATAAATATGTGTAAATCGTCATGAGAAGAATCACCTCTTTAGGGATACCAGAATCTTACTGTTTTGGTTACTGTGCAAGAAACTTGCCAGTCATGAGTTTAATGGACATATAGTTAATATATAGTGCATGTATAGTTAACATATAGTGCATATTAACTACATATAGTCCTTGGACTATACAATCCATGTGTTAACTATGTGTTTAATACCTGAGAAGGTGGTGGTAGTACTCAGGATTTTCATTGCAAATTTTGCAAGATGCAGTGCTTTGCTTGATTTCAGAAACTAGGAGTTGTTCAAGTGATTAATGGAAGTCTTAGGTTTTCATGAAAATTTACATTTCTATTCCTAATGCTTACAGAAGAAAGGTTTGGATCACAAAGCATTTGTGACATGAGCAGCTTAAAAGAAAAACAGCTAAACCCAATCTATTACTTTAGACCAAACTCAGCATTAAAACAAAACAAAACATATACTGAATGCTATTTGTTTGTATTCTACATCTCTTATCCTGTCTGTGTTGCTTGATACGTTACTGCAAAGTCCTTGGAGGAAGGACTGCACCTAAAGGGAAGTGAATCATATATCCATTGCTATTATGGGAATAGCAATGGGAAATGTAGATGTTTTGTTGGTGGGAGATGGCTCTTGTCTGGTTGGAGTAATGAGTTATGACAGAAACTGGTGTAGTGTATTGGAACATAGGTTTATTTAAGGTCTACTTTAAATTACTGTAATTTATGAAAGTTTAGGACTATGGAAAAGAATATGAATCCAGAAGCAAAAGGTTCATATCCTCACCAGCAGTTTTCATACCTCATCTTAACTTCAGAGTTCAGGAACAATTTAAAAATTATTTACTTTAATTTCTTAAGCATGCATAATAATGACATGATTCTAAGGGCGTGCAACTTTGTACTAAGTACAGTGTAATAAAGCCCAAGTGAAATATTTACTTGTAGGCCTCTGATATAGAGATACATGACTGCAGTCCTGCCTGCATAACCTTTGCCAAATGTTTGGATAGAATGGAAAGTATGGTCAAGATTTATTAAATTTTGAAATACTTTAGCTGATAAATGATTGAACCAAAATATCTATTTCAGTTCTTTAGAGACTAGTTTCTTAGCTCACGACTGCGCTCGGTTACTTTCATAGCTTGTCTTCACTGAGCAGTAAATGTGTTTATTGCTCATGTTCTCATGCTTAGCATAAGAATGTTCATGAACGTGAAGAATGTTTTTGTTCATGAAAAGAAATAAGAAGTTATAGCATTTGGAATAGTTAGTCACCTTGTTGAAATGTATATGCTTATAGTTAAAAAAAAAAAAAGTGCTGAATGTCTAAAATGGCAGTTTTTGACAGTCACTTTCCACAAGACAATTAAAATTGAGAGTTCGGTTCTGCTGCAGCCATGGAATGAGTAGCAGTATTTTATTCAACACTCTTTTTTGTAAAAGAGTAGAGGTACATTTTTCAAATTCCTTAAGTGTTTAAAAAATCACTTAGGCATTTTTTACATGGTGGCATTCTGTTTTGAAGTGGAGCTTAGGCACTTAAGAAATGTTACCTCACACTTCTGATATTTTGATCAGCAGTTGAAATCCTAAACTTTTAATGTCAAAGTACACTTTCTATGTATATCAAAGTAATCATTCCTGATGGTTTTTATGTTTGGAGTCATGCTGTGTTATGGACTGTCGCATTAGTTGGAGAAGTTCCCTGAAATCAATGAAAACTTGTGCTTAAAATCCAGGTATATCTTACAGTAAAATTTGTCTCAATATTTTTATTAACTGCAAAGAATGCAATATAAATACTGATTTACTACATAAAGAAATCCTAGGCTATAAATATAAAACTTTCAGAAAAATGTTCCTATTTCTTTAATTTCTATTGTCTTATTGTACTACTTCTGAAGGAGATGTGCATTTATGTGTGTATATATATTGAAAATCTCAGTATAGCTCCATAATAAAGCTTGACTTGTATCTTAAAACAGACTTAATAGTCCCTTTCGCTGTTTTGATTTGATTTATTCATCAGAACAGTAGTTTGTTAGGGAAGCATTGAGGTTTTCAGAAGCTGAATGCTATCCTCATGTTTTTAAATATCTCTTAAAAATTTTCCCTGTGACCTCTAAACGATTTTTCAAGGGCGTTTTGTTGAACAGTTGTAATAACGAATGGCTCCATGTCATTTTCACTGTTACAAAATATTCTTCAGCATTTATTTCTGAATTATGTTGTAAGAGTTGTTTCCCACTACTTCAAAACAGCCAAATGCAGGTGTGCGGGCACCTGAGCCCCT